ATATATATACAGTACAGCCCCTCCTCCTGATGTCCCGCCTTCCACTCCCCATAGGATGGAACTTTCCCTCCAACCCATGACAGAAAGGTAACATCCAGAACTCAGATATCATGGCCAATGGCAAAGGAATATGGGCAGTGGAATCCAAAATTCGAAGGGCAGATGGTTCTTCACCCCTGGCTTATATAATGTGGTGAAGGTGGTCTATAAACACAATTCGATCCATCTACAACTCTGCCTTATGCTGGTCTTTGACTATAAGAAATTCAATTCAGTCCATCCATCCGTCCATCCATCCATCCATCCATCCATCCATCCATCCATCCATCCATCCATCCATCCATCCATCCATCCATGCATCCATGCATCCTTGCATCCATCCATCCATCCATCCATCCATCCATCCATCCATCCATCCATCCATCCATCCATCCATCCATCCATCCATCCATCCATCCATGCGTCCATCCATGCGTCCGTCCGTCCATCCGTCCATCCGTCCGTCCATCCATCCATCCGTCCGTCCGTCCGTCCGTCCGTCCGTCCATCCATGCGTCCGTCCGTCCGTCCATCCATCCATCCTTGCATCCATGCATCCGTCCGTCCATCCGTCCGTCCTTCTGTCCATGCGTCCATGCGTCCATGCGTCCGTCCGTCCGTCCGTCCGTCCATCCATCCATCCATCCATCCATCGATCCATCCATCCATCCATCCATCCATCGATCCATCCATCCATCCATCCATCCATCGATCCATCCATCCATCCATCCATCCATCGATCCATCCATCCATCCATCCATCCATTCTATACCTTTGCCTTTAATGCTCGTGTTTTGTTTAGTTACATTTTCAAGCTTTCTTTCACCCACCTCACCCTGCTTTCGTCAAGTACCTTTCCTATTCAAAAACCCTGTTGTTTACTCCAAGATGCTTGGTATGATTGAGAGCCGAAATAAGAATATTTTATAAAAGGAAGGTGAGGAGAAGGAGCCCCCTCCAGATTCAACTGCTGATTAGACATCAAATCCATTTGGGGGGTCAGATGGGGGGGTTGATCCTCATAGGCTTACCATGCAGAGGACGTCAGAAGAGCATTCCACTAATAGCATATACAAGAGAAGGAAAATCTGCATGAAATGAAACTGGGTGGCTCAGAACAAACCTGAAACCGAAACAACGACTAAAGAAGAATAGAGTACCAAGACTCATGAGCGAAATGCCTTATTTTAGAACTTCTCAGAATAATGTAGTTGCACATAATGGCTTGGGTGTTGCATTTACCCCCCTGAAGGGACACAGAACGAAATTGACATAAATCTCCCACATTACTGCAAACATATTCTAATACGGTTGCTGAGTCACGCTCCTGCTGGCTCCTTTTGATCATTTCCACACGCACACACACACACATATATATTTGGTCGGAACTCAGTGGAGGTGAGCCACCTCGGTGTCAGCGGCTTGCAGAGAGCGCACCGATTAAGCAAGATTTGTCGTCTCCCGTGGCTTTCCCCAGCTCCAAATGTCACGGAAACGCGTGCTTTTAGCTTTCGGAAATTAGTTGTTTGGATTGCCTTTATTTTAAGCCTGCCATTCTGGCTTGAATGTTGCAACCTTCCAATGCTCCCCCTCAGAGCATAATCATAAAACAAAATCATAAAATGTACCCTATCCTCCCGTCCCATCGTATCAGTGGCTCGTCCTATTTTAAGACAGGCTGTTGAGGCAGTAAGGCGGTCGCCGAATCCTTCCATTCTTACACAGGTGTCACTGGATTCCAGGATCATCTCAAGAGGTAGATCTCCTGTGTCCAGACTTCACACACGAGGACCACAACAATGCTATATTCGCCACGGTTAAGATATCTAAGAAGACGAAGGCCTTCCATATTGCTCTTCTCCCTCTTGCTAAAGTATAACACCAAGTTCAAAAATGATCACTGCGCTCAACGCAAGAGCAACAAAGTCAACATTCAGCCCATATTCCGACACTCCCTTGGTTAAGTGAGGCCCAAGCGTCTTGATATGTACAGACCTTGGCCACTATCCTGGTGCATGCAGGTAATCATCTTCAAACTGCGGAGCTGGAAGGGACCCTATCGGTCATGGAATCCAGCCCTCTGCCAAGAAGGTGCAGGGAGGGAATGAAACTCCCAACCTCGGGCTCCCCAGCCAGAGACCTCGAACACTGAGCTATCTAGCAGTGCAGTCAGATGGAGGCAACGCTCTGTCCGGGCGTCATCTCCCTTTCGGAGGCACAGAGGACCTGGGTGAGCAGGAACACTGCTTCCTCATGTGTAAGGAAATCCTGCCCACCAAGCTCCATAGATCTCCAACTGCTCAAGCAACAAAAGGGCCATTATTTCCGTACGTGTCGTGCTTTGACTTTTCGAGAAAGAGAGGGATGTCTCTCTGCACCTATACAAAATGGCCCATGGCAGATCAACCTGTTCTGCGGTCTCCTTGTGGGCAAGAAATGGGGTCTCTTGGGGGTGAATCCAAGCTTCTTCCTCTTTTGCGCTGTTGATTCAAAGGACGCCCAATATAATCCAGAAAGGGCTAACGAATGACTCATGCTTCCTATTCCAAAACAAAGCTCCCCCCCTTCCCCACCCCAAGTGGCATTATGCAGCTCTTCTGAATCATCGGTGCTGTCAACAACGCCGGACGCAAATCAGCAAGCTTAACAGTTCGGGCACTTTTTTTTCCTCTGAGCTACCCGGAGCTGCTGATGGACAGAACTACAGGCAAGTGAGGGCATTTACATCAGACTCCAGCGTCTTTTTTGGCCCGCGCAGTCCAACAATACAAAATGCCCCTTGCAGAGCCATCTGGTCCGTAATCCAATCTGATCTGGCTGCAAAGGGAAGAGGGAGGCATCCTAGAGGCTAGTCTTTAATCCTGAAATCCTAATGATAAGGCACGAGCCGAGTGCCTGGAACTGGGAACTTCCAGTCAACTGCCTTCCCAGTCGGAGCGGCCCACACCAGAAACACAGCGGTGCTTCTCTAAGCTTAAGGGTCAAACTGCACATTACAGAGAACACATCATGAAAAGAGGGGATCCTTTAAGTGCTGAATGCCTCTGATTGTCACTGCAGCAGCTTTTCACTCCTGATGTCAATCAACTGGTAATGGCTTAGCTTTTCTCCCCCAACTGCTCCATTCTGAAGATTGAGACACCATCTGGTCACCTCTTGTCTCCCGAGGCCTCACTTCTTCTCTACTGCCAAGATTTTGCTAAGAAATCCTGCTCGCAGAAGGGTGACGGGGGCATAGTCTCTCCCTCCCTGCAGGCTGGCCGCTGCGGCATGCTCAGTCGCCCTTCCACAAAGATGATTCTCAACCAATGGGATTCTGGCCCAAGAATTCCCAAAGATTACGAGACAGATCCTTGCAGACGGCTTTGCCCACGTGGCTTTGTTTGGTCAAGGAGTCTTGCCTCTAAAGGAGCTCCGTCGTCTTTTTGGGAAGAAGACAGAGGTTGAGCAGAGTTGAACAAGTCCAACCTGGTGGCATCTGTTGCTGGAAGGGACAGCGTTCATTGGTCTAACCGTAGGGCCGGCTCTGGTCAATGGCTCTAAATGGTTGGGACACTGACCTGATGCAGCAGGCTCATGGAATCCCCTTCCATGAGGAACTCTGTCGTGTCCTTACTACTCTGCTGCAGGACTTGTAGCCAAGGACAGCTCCACGAACCGCTCTCCATCTTTTGAGCAGAGATACAAAAGAAGACAGGAGGAGAAAAGGCGAGGAGGATCGCTAAGCGGTCACGTCTTGCGGCTGGACCTTTGAAAGGGATTCGTGCTGGATGTGCACGAAGGGAGCATGATGTGAAGGATGAGCACATCAAGGGAAGCACTCCTTCACAGAAGAGCCAGCATCCCTCCTTCCCTCATCGTCTGGTTTAATTTCAGCATCTGCTCCCTGAGGGTGGAAGGAGACCTGCAGTGTGAGGGCCAGGCCAGACATGCAGTCTTCTCTGCGCCATGTGCCGCCAAGGAAGGAACCCCATAGCAATGCCTTTGAAGAGGGGTGAGGGTGTGGGATCCACAAAATATGGGCTCCAGAGAGGGCTGATGCAGATTCAGAACCTTGGAGAGCACTTTAAAAGTTCATATTAAAACCCAAGATGGATCCACCACTCTTGTAAAATTCAAGCTAGCCGGTCCCCACTGCTCTGAGCGCCAACTGAAGTCTCAGGACATTGTGACGTTTCCCTGAGAAGCCTGTGGGGTGGATCTCAAGGCAAGAGGCACTGCTGGATTTTCAAGCAGGAGATGTCTTTGAAGCTTGGGTGCCGGTCTCCAACCAGCCCCAACTTTGGGTGGTGACCACTGGCCCAGTAAGGATGTGTCCGTTTGCCTCCCCCCTTGACCTTGGCCTGCCCGTGCAACATCCTACAGGCCCAATCTCAGGACCTCACAAGGACCGACCCTCCTGTTGCCAGTTTTGGCCTTAATACCCAAAGGATGTGACATGGACAACTCAGCACCTCTCGCCCCCAGGTATACCCAGGGAGAGTTGTGAGCATTTGCAAACCTTTGGAAAATCCACCGCTCGGATGGCACCAAGGGGCAGACCCAAGACATTTTGCTGCCTGAGCCAAAGAACAAGATGGTAGACTTTCCACTTCCATGCACAGAAGCCAGCTACAGAGGTGGTTAGATCTTCCCTAGCCTCCCTGATCGTACGGGAGGCTTCTCTGCAACAGCTAAAGGCAGCTGACCAGTTCAGGGGGTGCCCAGTGCCTCGCTGGAGCCTCCTTGCATCTCTGCCTCGCTTTGCTTGAGGCCTGGTCGTGTTGGGAAGCTGTGGCAGGCGGTGGAGCTTTCATCGTCTCCGAAGCTAAGAGACCGAAGGGACCATGGAGGTCATCGAGTGTAAACCCTGGCTTGGTGCAAGAACAGCAGAGGAGGCTTAAGCTAAGAAAGTGAGGCGTGCAGGCGAAAGAGAGAGCAAAGGCCAAACCAGTTCTCTTTTCTGAGAACTACCAGTCCTTCCCCCTAAATGAGGTAGGGCTGCTAGACCAGCTGAACTGAAAGATCACCAGGGACTTGGCTAAACAGAGGAGCCCTTTATGCATCACTCACTCACTCACTCACACACACACACACAAGACCACAACTTAGCAGAAGACTTTCGTAAATCCATGGGCGTGTTAGACACACACACACACACACACACAAAAAGACCACAACTTAGCAGAAGACTTTAGTAAGTCCACGGGCGTATTAGGGCTTAGACACCATGCTTTAATTTAAAGAGCAACCTGACGGCCCTGTTTTGTAAAACACAGCCGCCGTGATGTCCTTTCAATTTAATTGCATTTTAATCTTGTAAAACTGTAGGGATTTTAAGGGAATGTTCTATTTAATCTCACTGAGCATCACCTGGAAGAATCTGCAAGAATCCCCTGACTTTTCCTCGTTGAAATGATTTTCCAAACACCAGGGGGCCAGTGGAACTCCCAGCTACAGGAAGCTGCTATTTGTGGACATGCGATTCTGAGGATCCTGTTTTCTGTTCCTCTTATGAACCTTTACCTTTCCACTGGCTTCGATCTGGCAGTCTTTTGACGTTCACATCCGATTCTTTTCCTGCCTTATTATTCAGTGAACGTCACTTAAACGTTCTGTTCTACAGGCAGCCTCGGAGTGTCCGACGGCTTTTTTCAAAGGCGGAAAAGAAAACTTACAGGGGAAGGAAATATTACTGACATTTACAAAACCTTTACCAAGCGCAGAAATCAATAAGGATTCGCTCATTACTATAATGGGATGTGGTGGAATAATCCTGAATTGTCTGAAATATGAAAGGATAGTGATTAGATGGTTGTCTGAGCCCCACTGAAATTCAATTTGGCCTGGCAACGGGGTTTGTATTAATTTTAATCATATGCTGTCAAGTCAGTTCTGGCTCATGGCAACCCTTTTGTGGCTTTCCAGGTAGAGATGACTCAGATGCGGTTGCCCATTTTTTCCCTTTTATTTGGGACTTTGTGCAGCTGGCCCAAGGCCCCCCAGGCTGGCTCTTCTCCCAGGAGGGCCCATGGGGGGAATCGAACTCCCAGCTTCTGGCTCCACAGCCAGAGAACCTAAACTGTGCTATCCAACCGGCTTGGGTTTGGACACTGGCTGCCAAGCTCTCAAATTCAGAAAGCTGATGGCTAGAGTGTCTGAAAACGGCCTCTCAAACACATTCCCTATTTTATTTGTGGGGAGAATAAGGACCAGGGAGAAAGCTTTTCACCAGAATTCCCCAACGCGAGGAGTGGAGAAGTTCTGATACCATTTCCTCAAAGGTGGGGTTTCCCGCGAGCAGCTTCGACACCTTAATGCTTTGGCTTTTCCTCCCAATTATTAGCGGGTAGCCCTGAGAACAAAATATGGCGAGGAATATATTCAGAGCAAAACGTGCAAAAGGCGGGAGGGGGGCCTCGCCATCTCTTCCGGCATGTGTGGGTGAGAGAAAGCCAACCATTTCAGAAATTTTGTGTGGTGAACAACGTCAGGAGCACAAGCTCCCACTGAAGACAACGAGGTTTGGGTTTTACGTTGCTGAAATTTAGCACCTCTTTTTAAAACCAGGAAATCACAAGGTTCCTCTTCCACTCTCATCCTTTACATCGGTGATTCCCAACAGTGGGTCGCCCCAGATGTTCTTGGACTGCAACTCCCAGAAACCCAGAAATTTTCTGGGAGTTGTAGTCCGGAACCACGTGGGTGACCGAAGCTTGAGAAACACTGCTTCACATCAAGAAGTGGTATAAACACACAAGAACCAAGGTACACCTAAATAAATAAATAAAATAAATAAACACACAAGACCAAGGTACACCCGCGGACGGACGGACGGACAGACGGATGGACAGACAGACAGACAGACAGAGAAAATAGTATTTCATTGGTTCTGTATAATCCTGGCTCTGAGCTACTTTTCCTCTCAGGAAATGGCACTGCTATTTTTGATCAGCAGTCATTGGGTGAAGGATTCACACACACACACACACATACACACACACACACACATTCTAGCCCAAGGAAAACCACATTTATAGTAATTCAATATTTCCCACCCACACTGGGCTGTATCATCCCCTCTCAGCATGAAGATCAAGAGAACCAAGAACGGGCGAATGGCATGGAATCCAGAGGAAAACTGAGCTTTGCAAATTAACACTTCACCACTAAAAATCTCTGAAAGTAAATCTGGGAATTAGCCCGTTTAAAAGAATGACAACAACAGGCAGTTCTAAATTCAGACCTGTCGTCTCTGCCCTGGACTGTTTCTTATCCTTATTTGCTCTCTTTCCTTCCTGTCTTGCTTTGAAGAGTCCAAGGTGGCTATGAATCTAAAGGTGCCCCTACAGATTTGGTCCCCACAAACACCCTCCCCAAAAAAGAAAAAAACTGGTGCAGAGATCCCCCGGCTGCCTGCTCTTCCTTGTCCTCTTAGGCGAGCACGAGGAATCCGTACCTTCAAGATGCTTTCTGGGCTCTGGCCGGTGTTGTTGAAACACAATGGAAGTCATGATTGGACCAGAAACGGAACATGATAAGGATCCTGTCCTTCCCTAGGTTCTGAGTCTTGAGGTCGGGTCCTACAGGTGGGGACAACCAGCCATGGACAAAGCAGAAGCCAGCATTTCCAACAGTGGCTGAAATCCAGGGGTAAGGCACCACTAGAGTAGGCCCATTGAAGGAATGGACCTGACGGTGCCAGCATCTCACCAAATACCCGCTGGTTCCATGGCCTGACTCTTGTAACTTACTATCGGGTTTTAGCCACAGAATTTAAAAACGATGCCCTTCCAGATGAGTTACAGCTCACCTCCTAGAATCTCTCACCATTGGACAACCTGGTAGATGAAGACCAAGTCATCTGGAAGACTGAAGGACAGAAATCCCTGGTTTAAGGAAAATACCAGTGCTTGGGTCCCCAGGAATGTGGTGGCACTGCGGGTTAAACTGCAGAGGCCTCTGTGCTGCAAAGCCAGAAGACCTGCAGTCGTAAGATCGAATCCACGCGACGGAGTGAGCCCCCGTTGCTTGTCCCAGCTCCTGCCAATCTAGTGGTTCGAAAGCATGCATGCAAAATGCAAAATGCAAGTAGATAAACAGGTACCACCTCAGTGGGAAGGTAACGGCGTTCCGTGTCTAGTCGCGCCGGCCACGTGACCACGGAAGATTGTCTTCGGACAAATGCTAGCTCTATGGGTTGGAAACTGAGATGAGCACCGCCCCCTAGAGTTGGACACGACTGGACTAAATGTCAAGGGGAACCTTTACCTTACCTTGTTCCCCAGACGTTCAGGGACTGCAACTCCCAGAACCCCCAACCAGCACAGCTATGGGCGAAGGCTTCTGGGAGTTTTAGTCCAATCACATCTGGGAACCCCTGGGACACACAACATGAATGCTGCAGAGGTGCAAAAAGGTTCTCCCTGTCGCTTCCCCACCGTCATGGGGTCACTCACCTTTTTCTCGTCGCCTTCCTGCAAAAGCTGGAGGTGGCTCCTTTTCTCCCCGTCCTTGCGCAAGGAACTGCTCTGGTGCTGGGGCAGGCCCACCGGGGGAGACACGCTCCGGCCCTGAGGATCCACCCAAGTGTAGATGTGGTTGGTCACGTAGCCTCCGGGGATGCGCCCCACAGAGTGGACCGAAAGGTTCAGCTTCTTGGAACCTTTGAGGGCCTACAAGACAGGAGAGAAAGGGAGAGGAGCCATCAAAATGGACGCCACACATCATTCAAGCCCATAGCTCAGTATGTTGTCCGCTGGGATTCCCAGCCCTTCGTATCTTCTTACCCAATGCTCTGTCAAGGATCCAGGTCTCATCGAGGTAGAAGCAAGAGGCCTTTCCCCCCAAAACAGGAATGGCAGCCTGCTTTATTTTCCACGTAACAGTAAATTTTAAGGACATTTAAAAATGTCAGCCTTATTGCAGAGTGCAGGCAAAAAAAAATTACAATTCCATTGGTAACGGAAAATCACAGGAATACAGCAGACTATAAACTTTATGACAGCGGTTACGGTAAAGCCCACAAATATAGGAAGACATTGAGGGAGCATTATTTCTATGGCTAAAACCTAGACCAAGACAAGCAATTCTGCAGGGGGAAACCTCACAGCCCACCTCGATGACTCCTGCACCCCAGCAGAATATAACGGAGAACTCTCTTGCCTCACAAGATGCCTGATCCACATACTGTCAAAGGTCTGCTGCTGATCCCAGAAATACATCTTTTCCATTCATGATCATTCATATTAATTTTTGAAAAATATTTTTAAATGTTAATTTTAAAATGTGTCTTTTTTTTTTGTTCTTCCTATCTCGTTTTGTCTGAATTTTAGATCTCTACTTGCAAATTGCTATATTGCTGAATGTATTTTCTTACGTGGGTGGGGTAATTTTTTGGGGTGGGGTGGGGTTAGGGTTAGGATTTTAACCTGTAAACCACCCAGAGTAGGGCTTGCACTAATGGGGTGGTCAATCAATCAATCAATCAATCAACCAACCAACCAACCAACCAATCAATCAATCAAGCAAGCAAGCAAGCAAGCAAGCAAGCAAGCAAGCAAGCAAGCAAGCAAGCAAGCAAGCAAGCAAGCAATGGGATACAAGCAACTGGTTCCCCTCCCCCAGCTGGAGAAAAAAAGAAAGAAACACAGAACAAGAGAAAGCAAGACAGGAAGAAAATACATAAAATATGAAATAACTATTATTGGACACATTACAGCATTTGTTGTTGTTGTTTTGTTTTTAAAATTAGAAACCTAGAGGAACAGGAAAGAACAGATACCCTTTGCAGCGGAGAAGACATAAACCCCGTGGGAGTCGGGGTGAGGACATATTATCGCAATATTGCAGTCAGTTTCCTTTCTCTCCGTTTCTTTTCCTTTTTTCTTTTGCAAAACTAATGTGACGGAAAATATTATTAAAGGTTTTCTTTTTAATAAGACACTTAAGCAGTAGTTAGACTTGCAATAATCACCAGCTAAGCCCATCTCTTGTTGGTTTTACGACAGGCTGAGACTCGGCAGTTGTAAATCCAGTCGCCTTCAAGTTTTATTGCCGAGGAACTTGGGTTTGCCTGTCTACAGGTTTGATCGTCCTTGAGCGCCAAGTGGGATCAACGCTGAGGGTTTACGGTCCACTTAGAGCAATGCTTCCCTAACTTTGTGTCGTTGTGTTAAATTCCAGCTCCCATTATCCACACACACATCAAGACAACCTTCTCTTCAGTTCTAGGGGCCTGGCTCACATGGTGGGTCTCCTTGGGTCTTCCTGTCTTGAACCAAGTGGCTGTTTCACAAATTACTACTAGAGAAGGCATCCCAAGGGAGTCTTCTAACAGCTGTTTGTACATTAAGCCTTCCCGAAGAGTGGATGGCAAATTTCACTGGAAAACTACTAGAGAAGGCATCCCAAGGGAGTCTCCTAAGCCTTCCTGAAGAGTGGATGGCAAATTTCACTGGAAGCCATAAAACAGAATGAAACCCACTTTATGGGAGCCACTCTGGCGTGTCAAGGGTTGGAGGGGGAGACCTCAGTCATGGCTTGGCTAGACGTCCAGGGCAAGTAAAAGTATTCTCAGAGGGCCTTTCATCCAACAGAGCGCCATCCAAGTCCAGGAAACCAAAGTTGGACAATAGAGGTCAAAGCCATTAGAAGGGATGTTTCAGGACCTTGGACAGCACATTCCAGGAAAGCTCATCGGAGTGCTGCCTTCTAAGGCAGTGCCTCCCAACCTTGGATCCCCAGATGTGCTTGCACTACAACTCCCAGACATCCTTGGCCAGCACAGCTAGTGGTCAAATCCTCTGGGAGTTTTAGTCCAAGAACATCTTGGGACCCAAAGTTGGGAACCACCGTTCTAAGAAGAGCTGTTGTCCTAGCAAGGCGCTGTGGCCAACTGAGGTCTTAGGCAAACTGGAGGGTTCAGATCTTTCAGAAAGCGCACCATGAATCAGATGGCAGTTGTTGGCGCTGATACTCCCACGGTTATTCTTGTAGTGTTGTGCTACTGTACGGCTGAGGGACAGGAGATGCTGTGGAGGGAGCCACCCCCAGAAATGTCAAATGCCCAGTATAAAGAGTGTATGGTCTTGGTGGAAGGAGATGAGAACAGCCATCCTGGATCAGATGCAGGTCTCTCTAGCCCAGGACGTTATCCCCACGGTGGTCAATCCATGCTTCTGGGAAGCCCGTATGCAGGAAATACAGGCAACAGGCTTCCCCAGTTGTTGTCCACCATAATTCTGCATCTGGGAATATACCACTTCCACACACAGAGTTTTTCTCCACATGTATCTATGGAAGTTGTATTCCGAGGGACAGAATGGTAGTATCTGTTCATTGCCATCTCCTGAGCCATCTGCTCACCTCAGTATATAGGATTAGACTAATTCATGGTCAGTTCATATCTGCTACTGGCTACCTCCTCCCATCTAGTGCCTGAGGCAGTTTCCTCATCCCACCTAACAACAGAGCCGGCCTTGTGCAGTTCAGCGGTTGGCCACAGGGAGGCACTGCGCAAAGCTCTTGCAAGAAACATAAAACCATCTCAGGAGGGGCAGGGAGAGAGTTAGCTGAAGACTGCAAGCATCTTGGGTGGAGGAATGGGTCTCGCTTACAGATCAGATGTGAGGCACATAAGCAGAGATTTTTCAGACGTCTGCATGATGCTAGCCTCCACTTACATATGGAAACAGACGGCACATGAAAGAAAACTCGCTATGAATCTCCAGTGCTCTCTTAACCCAATGAAACCAAGATGATTAGAGATATCAATGGGCATATTCACTACACAGGCATGAAGCCATGTGCAACAGTGAGGAGGGGGGAAGACATGGCAAGGGGGCAAATCTCCCTCTTGTTACAGGAAGCACTACTATTATCCACAATGCCAATTTAATGGGACTGTTGCCCGAATCTATTCGTTTTCCCTTTCTCAACAGAACACTTAACCAAGACTCTTAAATGCACGGCAATCATTTCCAAATCAATGAGCTTTTTCCATCAGAGAACGGTGCATTTGAAAGCATAATGAGACATTCTGATGTAAAGGGGCTTGGGGTGGCTCTGGATTGGCAAGCTCCTAGCGCAGTGGAGAACATCTTCTTTTTAATGGAGCTCATCGTTGGCGCGTTATAAATATAGACATATAATGAATTGCTACAGGGCACTTTTGCAGAACTAAAAAGAAAAACTCCCCTCAAGAAGGACATCACGGTCACCTTCAGACTTTCAGATGGGTGAAGGAGCTGTGTGGCCTTCTAGATGTTGATGGACTACACATCCCATCACTCCCAGCCATTGTCCGTGCTATCCAATGCTGGTAGGGGCTGGAGTGCAACAACATTGGACCGTAAGATCCTCATTTGTTGCAAATACTTATTCACCCTACAGTTGCCCACCAAGTGCCCTTCCAGATGGTTCAGATTCTGACTCTCACAAACCTTGGCCAGCATGGACAAGCATGGTCAACAGTGATGGGAGTTGTAATCCAAAAGTCTGGAGGGTGCCATATTTACCTACTATTGTACCCTATCCAATGAGTAGATGAGAGATGAAAATGTATGATGATAATGGATGATGGGTGATGTCTTCCGTGTCGGAAGTCTTCAAGCAGAAGGGGGAGGACCATGCGTCAGTGACACTCTACGTCTGGAGCTCCAACATCAGGGACAACGCCGAACAATAGGACATGTGGTTCTAAAGTTTTCCCCAGGAGTGTCGGTCACACTATTATGGATTGCGTGAGCAGACCCGCAGGCACTGAGGGGATGTGACGTCGTGAGATGTCAAGTCCCATATTGCTGATTCCAAGAGAAATCTGAAGTGGAAAGAACTCCGAGATGAAAAGTGAGACTTTAATGCATGTTTTTTTCTAGCTGATGGGCAAGTGAAAATGGAAAATAGTTGAGAGTTGAAGAAGTGGAAATCTTGGGGGATCTGCCATTGAGTGATGCATATTGGTGGATCCCTCAAGCTATGGTGGTATACCGATGTTTATGGCAACCCGAAGCAATTGCTTTATTCGCAATCTCACCTGTTCACTCTACACTTTGGGTCAAAAACTAATTCATTCCCGTTCTTAGTGTGTAAGAATCATCTCTTGCAAACTGAAGGTTGTGGCTTCCTTTCTTGAGTTAATTCATCCCTTATTTGGTCTTCCTCTTTTCCTGCTGCTTTCAACATTTCCTAGTACTGCCTCAGTTTTCTCATTGTTGTTTCTTGGGTAAGTTTAGGCCTGATTTAACCTAGCGACTAGTGAAGTACAGTGGTGCCTTGCTTGACGATGTTAATTCATTCCAGCAAAATCGCTGTAGAGCAAAAACATTGTCAAGCGAAATAAAAAACCCATTGAAACACATTGAAAACTGGTTCAATGCGTTCCAGTGGGCTGAATACCTGCTCGTCCAGCGAAGATCCGTCATACGGCGGCCATTTTCGGTGCCTGTATAGCGAGGAATCCATCCTAGAAAACAGCGGGGGGGGGGGCACTTTGAAAGCTGGTGGCCATTTTGAAACCCGACGATCAGCTGTTTGCTGATTGCTGTAAAGCGAAAAATCGGTTCCCGAAACAGGGAACGGATCAATGTGAAGCGAAAAAACCCAATCTAAACATCGTTTTGTGATCGCTTTTGCGTTAAGCGGATTCGTCGTTAAACGGGGTAATTGTCCAGTT